TAATGGATCGTAATGGATCACCGTTTCGCTATTCTGTCAAGGATTGCCATCTAATACAGGTATAAATGTACATAAATGATCACAAGAAATATTTTTTTGTTCAATTGACTTAATTTCTTTAGATATACTAAACAATGTCATTTCTATTATTCATAAAATATTCTTTTGTTTTTGGATCACTAACATTGTTTCATTGTAACTCATTATTTTCGATATCAACAGACACATAAATGCAAGCAAAAGATTAATTAAGCATAGAGGGACAAACAACGAAGCATGCAACGTAGATATCAAAATAAGCCGAATAACAAATAGTGACTTTTAAACAACTTTCATGTTAATAAAATATTTTATTTCTTCAATTCATTTACCGTTTCACCAGTTTGTTGCTGACGCATTCGACAATTGTTTGTTTAATGTGCTTATAACATTTTAAATTTTCCTTTTAATAATTATACAGGATGTATCATTGAAACATTCTTTATACAATGATAATTTGTAAGAAATAGGCACTCGATGAGTACGTAAGGATTTGCTTTTTTATGATTGACAATTACAAAATACCAGTATGATTGATATAATCTGACAAAAATGGGTTGGAACTCAAAATGTTGGGTATCAAAACACAACACCATAACAAGGTTTTGCCAACACAACCACTACAACTTTGTTGTTTACATTTTCTATGTTATGTATCTGCATAATGTCAAAAACATCTCGCTATTGCCTGCTTTTCACTAGTCTATCGAACATTGGTGTCTACTATCAAATCTCTTAACAAACAAACGTTTAAAAAAAAAAAATTTGGGAATGGTATATAAAAAAGTGGAAATATAAATTACATTATATCTTAGTAATGAGATGCCCCGTTCCTCGTCGAAGACATTTCTCAATACTGCCTTTGAAAACGTTTTAACCTATGTATTAAAAAGCAAATATTGTTTGCTTACCATTATTTTATTTGCTTATATATTTTCAAAATTAGCCCTGTTCCTCATCAGAAAATTTTAAATAATGACAAACATTAAACCGTTTAATAGATTAAGACATTGCGCACAACTGACACCAAATTTAACTGAAACATACAAATGGATGCGCGAATAAAATACCTTTTCAGTATTTAAATCCATCAATGGTTGCAACAGTCCAGAAAAATACAAGCAAAATTAAATTTCACGTTCGTAAAATACGTTGCAAGAAACATTGTGACTCGTTATTATGTAAAAATTGCATGCAATACTTCCAAACACATTGAAATATATGTTTATAAAAATGTCACTTGCATCTTACTTAACTTTTTGATCCCCCTCCCAACAAACTAATTTCCTCTTCGGATTGCTCAATTATGCTCCATTTTCAAAAATACCCAGAATTGAACAATGAAACACAACACCGCCTTAACTTTTCAAGTGTTACATTGTTTTATCATGACAGGTGATATTCTTAAATCTTAATTCCTAGTTCTATCTTATCAACGCAATTAAAGTAAAAATATGTAATTATTTAGCTGTTTGTCAAAGTCAAATAACAATTTTCGTATCCGATAACTGTAATGTGTCTACAAAGAAAATATTCTATAAACGCCACATGAACTTTTACAAGGTCATGTTCATAATAGCCTAATATGTCGAATTTCACCTCCCAGCTGTTAATTCCTTATAAAATATGAAGAACTTCTATTATTTTTAGAAAAAACTAGGAAAGTTTTAAAATCTTAAATTTTGGGTGGTGTAAGTTGAAAATTTAACTCTTTGTAGTATTTCACGCGCGAAAAATCATGATTCTTTTGATTTTAAGTAAAATAACAATTTGGCTGGTCGCCTAATGCCCGCTAGTCACCCACATTATAGATATCATATCTGAGCTTAATTAGCAAAGTTTTATCGTGCCTTTTGGCGCTATTGCTCTACAAGTTCTTTGTGATGGAATCTATTCGAATTAACTGATATTTAGCAAAACTATTCTTGCCTATACACAACTTAAGATAAAAAAAGTTGAGATGTTTGAAACTGGGGCGTTTCTAAGAAGAAGTATTGCCAATTTTTTTTCGACTAAGCTGAAACATAACGCAATTCATCATGAAAAATACTTTACTAATTCTTAGATGTGCATGCAAGTAAGGATAAACCAGAAAATAGATCTTATTTTTGCCAACTTAAAAAATGATATAATTATTAAGTTTTATCTTTACTAAGTTTTATCTTACGCTGTTGACAGCTCCTGTATGTTTTTTGTCAAAGCGAAAGACGTTGATTGCTATTAAAGAAGAAATATTCTATAAAAGTCACGAAAACGTCTGAAACTTCAACTCCCCGTCTCACAAATGAAAGTATCAAGTATAAAGTAAATATTGACTTTTTTAATTACTCGTGTATCTATTATATAAAAGCATGTCGAATCTTTGTTGCCATTATTTGGAAACAAGATCTTGGAGGAGTTACCGAAAGTAGAAAGTAAGGTCTCTTTTTCTTTGTATTTCAATTAAAACATGTTTTATCAATTTCGCCGCGTTTTTGCTTAGTTTGAGCTATATAGCCTTTTATCAAACTTATCATTGAAACGATATAATTGTTCAGTTGGCCTTGACTTGTCGATTTATTTTCTGAATCTATGAAACTTTCAGTCGTTTAATTTCTACAGTAAGTTCTACAACCTTGAATCGTAGTTTTTGAGTTGTCGTCACTAAAACATTTGTTGATCTTTTGTTTTTTTCTGTGCGTTTAGTGTTATAATACTGTCGTTAAAGTGGTTCTATGACGAAAACTTAACATTAAAAAATCATCGATTTTAGCATTCGATAGCTTAAACACATATCAATTATTGCTTTCGTAAAATGTAAGCAAAAATAATAATATAACGAGGGAGTTATGAACATTTGAAATGTCTAATTTTCATGTCCGCCATTAAAATCGGCCATTTTGAGTATTTGCAATCAGCAAAGTTTGTGACGGCATAGTTTTAACACGGCAAGAAGCGCACATTGGAAAGTATACAAAGTAATACATAAATAGAGCAAAAAAATGTCAAATTCATCGAGATCTAGCCTGCTCTCTGAGTCTTCGATCGCGACAAACGCATCGATTTCTTCATCGGAATTTGTGAAGGCAAATTTGAACGAATCTAATTCGGAAATTTGCCATTTGTCGATAATATTGAACGGCTTGCTTCGCCCGATGAAATTGCTGAGTACGAAGCTACAGTCGCAGAAGAACGGCGGGTTGAAGACATGCTGCAAGATCGTTTTGATGCCCGTGTTGATGTTACTTCATGGTAAGATGTCATTCTTAGTGTGTTACTTTGATCTGAATCGTCTGCCGTTAGCTATTATAACTTTATGGAAATATACAATTTGGCCAATATTAAAGGTGCGATTGTGGCCATTGTTCGTTGGATCTTGTTGTCAACCCTCAAGAGTGCCGATGCTGCATGGAAATAGAGCAATGCCGTGGTAAAATGTATCAGTTCGAAATCGATGAAATGAAATGCATTTTGGATCACCACGGCTTTAACGAAGTTTGCCTGAACGAATTTGTTCTTCAAGCAGCTTCGTCAGGTTTTAAGCCTAGGCCACACTATCGTCCATATCGACGAAAATTAGAACGAAAACTTCCGCAACGAAAATTTTGAACGAAAACTCGACGAAAATTTCGTTTTCGTTCACATTAGAAGAGTTGAACTTTTGACCTTTTTCGTCAACGAAAACGCATACTATTGGCTAAAAATATCTTGATAATATCAGACTTTGTTCTCAAACATGGCGGAGTGGCAAGAGGTTTTGATGAATCTGATGCGAGAAAAACCAATTTTGTATGATAAAAGTCACCCGGATTATAAGGACTCGAGGAACAAGAAAAGAAATCACTAGCAAGATGTTTTAGATAAATTTAAGAAAATTACGGACTTGGCGTGGGATAGTGAGTATTATTGATAGTCCGCCGACAAACTTTTTATATCAAATCATTCATTTCCATTACTTTTTAAACATTTTAGCAGTAACTTTTCTTAAGAAGAAGTAATCTTTTCTTTAGAGATCGCCATTGTTTCTAATCCGTCAAAAATGCCGCTTGCTTATTGGCCAATAATGTTTTGGCTTTGCAAACATGCTTGAAATTTTTCGTCGTGTCTGGCATGCTTTTCGTGCACGAATTTTCGTTTCGTTTTCGTTTTCGTCAATATAGACGATAGTGTGGCCCAGGCTTAAAGACCAAAGGTCATCGCATGATACAGACACTTCATTTTGTATTTCCTTTAAAACCTTAGCATAAATGTATATTATATATTAAAAGTTTGCTTGGGTGTATTATTGGTTCTCTCAAATTGTGAAAATTTATCATCTGCAATATGTGTAATAATAATTGCAACTTGTGCTAACCTGACGCCGCTCTCTTGACGTTGTTGGTGTTTGTGATTTCTTCCAAATAGTAGGTACGACACCAGGTTTGAGCCGTCTAGTCATACCACCCAAATGGAATAAACGCTCAAAGCAATCATCCGAGATGTGATTCGAACAAATCATAAATCGAATTTTGCGCGAACTCGGATTAAAGTTTGCGCGCTTCGTCTGAACAAATTTAACCCAAATTCTCAAAGACTCGTCGTTCGGGCTTTTATGTAATGAAATGCCTGTACTTCTATTAGACTTATTACTGCAATCTTGCACGACACAGCGTGTTGAAGGCATGTTAAAAAAATTGAGTTATACAAGCTTTTAAATCTCTATTCGTATATAGTGTTATATTGTAAACAGCCGCGAGTTAAGACTATGACGTCACAAGCACCTTCCTTCTTGAAAATTCAAATATGGCGCATTTTAATGGCGGCTCTTAAAGTTCAAGTTTTATTGCTACGTAACTCGAGCAGCATGAAATACACTGCGCTAAAATTTTGCCGGAAGAGATTTTTTTACATACACTATTAATCTATGAAAAAAAACGAAAGGCAAAATTTTCGTCATAGTACCATTTTAAAGCCCAGTTTGCATAGTTACTTATAATCTAAATTAGCAACTACTTTTTTGTCTAAATTTCCTGCCCGCATAAATTTTTGAAAAGTACAAATCTTATGTATACTTTAGCACAACCTGTACGAAGTGCTGGTTCACTGCTCTCGAGACTTCACTCGAACGATGGGACTGTATTTTGACAATTGTATTTAACACTTGATAGGATATTTACAGTGGTTTGTGAACGATTTGTGATACGGAGTTCCAAACATTGGTTCTTTGCGACACAAATTTGTTATTGAAACGTTGAGATTACGGCCAACCGTCAATCTTTAAACTTGAAACTTATTCCAACGCTATCGCCTCCTGCGATACGACTTCTAACTTATCACTTTTGTACGTCTAACAACGTCTGTTTTGCCGAATGCCGAACCAACGCTTGCAAGCTCTTATTTATATTATAATTATTAGGACATAATAACTATAGTTTAACTTTAATTTATAGTTTTTAAAACAACATTAAAAACTGAAGTCATGAAGAAATTTGCAAACAAACAGGTATGTTTTAGAAAATGGATGAAAGGAAAGGATGAGCGCTAAGTAAACATTTTCACATTTTGGATAAATTTCAATCAAACGTTTTACAGGTTTCTTCTAAAACAATCGGTAATTCGTCAACATCAAAACCCAAGGTCAACGATGTAAATGACAAAAAAACTAAATCCATCATTAAAAGAAAGTCCATCAAATATAACTGCAAAGCTCTGAAAAAGACTTCTTTAAGACGATCATTAAGAAAGTCATCCATAAAGATTTATACAGACGAAGATGTACCTGATGATGATCTTAACATTTGTAAGTACTTTACTTTTGTTAGTGTACAGTCATGAATATTTAAACATCAGTTCATTACTGTGATTTGATATTTGCTTTAAAATTGTGAACAATGCAGTTGTCTTAACGATGGAGAACGTTTTTCGAACAAATTTCATTTCTTTGAAGTACATCAATGGAAGGGAACATCAAATGCTACGAAGACACTTCCAAAAGATTTGTACATAAATACCTCTACAATCCCCAACGCAGGCAGGTGTTTTTACAAAGAAAAAAGTTAAAATTAACACTCGTTTTGGACCATACAGAGGAGAGGTACTTTCGCTTAAAGACGCAGAGGATGGAAGAGATCCTGCGTATATGTGGGAGGTGAACATATTTAAATAAAGGAATAATTTCTTTTTATTAAAATATTTTCTGCCTGTTCTGCTTTCACCATGCAGATATTAAACATACATGCTTTGTCATAATTATTTATCTGTCCGTGTTTACAGATTGTACAAGGAGGAAAGGTTGTATATTGTATTGATGGTAAGGACCTTGCTCAAGGTAATTGGATGAGATTTGTGAATTGTGCAAGATTTGAAGAAGAACAAAATATAATTGCATATCAATATAATGGAGAAATTTACTACCGAGTTTATAAAGAGATTGAAGCCGATAAAGAATTCCTTGTTTGGTATGGAGATGAGTATGCTGAACAGTTGGGAATATCGTTGTTTGATGAGGAAGATAATGACAATCATCAGTTTGAAGGTTAGTCAGTTTACGTATGCAAAGTGCCTTAGTTATGTATAATCATTCAGTTCTTTATCTTGTGATCTAATTCTAACTTTTCTTTTTAGTTGGAGGTCACAGCTGTAGACACTGTGGAAGGATGTATACTTATCCCGATTATTTAGAGAATCATTTAAAACGATGTCCAATGCTTGTTTGTACGAATCCCTGGGAATGTCCACGTTGTGGTCGAAAGTACAGTAGTGAAGACTATCTAAATGCTCACATGAAAAATGAATGCGGAAAAAATACACGATTAAAACGACATGTGAGTGTTCAAACTGGAGAGAAGCCTTACAAATGTGAACATTGTGGTAAAAGATTTACACAGCTTGGTCACTTAAAACGTCATGGTATTATACATACTGGAGACAAACCTTACCAATGTGAAAATTGTGGTAAAAGATTTACACAGCTTGGTCACTTAAAACGTCATGGTATTATACATACAGGAGAGAAACCTTATAAATGTGAACATTGTGGTAAAACATTTTCACAGAAAGATGACCTGAATAAACACGTTAGAATACATACAGGAGAGAAACCTTATCAATGTCAACATTGTGGTAAAACATTTTCACAGAATTGTAATTCTGTGAAAATGTTTTACCACAATGTTGACATTGTTGCTTTTCTTGTTGCTTTTCGAAAAAGAGCATTTGATGGGACAGCAAAGATGGGAAATTATTTTTTGGAGCGAACTGTCCTTTGGTTATTCACTGCAAAAATAACATGCCTCATCTTTCTCTCACTCCTGCGGCAACAATCCTGTGATTACAGAAAGGTACGGAAACTGCGTTGATTTTACATCAGACACCACAAGGTAAGTAAAATTTTTATTTTTCTATCCGAACAGAATTAAAAAAATGGCGATATTAGAATTTTTTTAGATGAGATTATAACTAAAATATTGTTGTATTCTACATTGAAAATGCCGAAATTCGCTTTTCCGAGAGTCTAGATTTCAAAATTTTCTGGAGAGCATGCCCCCAGACCCCCCTAGGGTTGGCTTGCGCCGAAGGCGCTCGCTACGGCACAGGGCTACGGTCAGCCCAGAAGCTGGATCCGCCCCTGATTGAAGTAACAAGGGAACAGATTTGATGCTTATGCCTACGAAGCTACTTTTCGTTAGCAAAATTGCAGAACTAAAGTATTATCTTTAATAAACACATGCTAAGTTCGATTGCCAAATTTGTGAGGAAACTGAGGATCGCTTCTAGGATGGTCATGAATCGCCACTGCAGTTGGTCTAAAATTGCTGAATACTTTCCAGCATCTCCACGTTGCGTGTATTTCTTGTACTTCTTTCTAATTTATGAATTTGCTTTATGAAAATGTCGACACATGTAATTGAATCTGTAGTTATTCTTCATCGTTCGTAGAATAACAATAACATCACTACGGCGACAATCGTAGCCAGCATTTTGGTAATGCTATGCAAATTTTTGGTGTCAATGTTTATTGATTTTTGCATTTTGCATTGATTTTCATTGATGTATGTATTCAATAATTTATGACATATGCTAAATTTGGGACTGCTTGGCCTTGACCGATGGGGCGCCCCCAACAATCCAGGCCCTTTAGGTCTTAAACTAAAGTTGCTGAACCAAATGAGCGCTGCGCCCCTACAGGAATAGGCACTGCGCCCCTAACTGCGTTCCCTCCGTAAAAAGTACAATACTGACGGAGAACGACGTGAAAGGGTCGATACTGAGATAGAAGGAGATGCTCTGTGAGTAAATCCAGTTTAATGCTTTAATAGCGACTATCTCGAACGATTGCAATCATGTTAAATGGAACATATAATTTGCTTGAAGTCAGAAAAGCCACTTTTCCACGCCCATGCAATGTAACAGTATTCGTTTTTTAGAAAATTATATTTCAGCAGGGTAAGGCATTTTGGGATTAAATAAATGATGATCATTGAAATCCAGCATCCTTTTGATACAGTTAAAACTATCAACCATTTTTAAGTTCCGATTTAACAAGTTCTGAGTTTTCCAAACTTAGTGATCTAGCATGTAATGGTACATATTTAATGTTAGCTAATTGAGCGTCCAAAAGACCCCAAGTGTGTTTTTAGACGTTTAGTATTAGTCAAGTGGCGGTGCTTATAGACTGAATTGTGACATGTTGGTACACATTTAAGTAAAATCCCGATAAACCATTTTTCGAGTTTGCATTGCAGAGAGATGAATAGCTAGATGTACGTATGTACTATTATTGATTTATTATTATAAAATAAACACAATAAAACGCGTGCGCTGATTGGTCTATAGCTGAGTTTCCATTAGCCTGTGCAAACCGATTTGAGCTAAATCAATTAAATCAATCCAAGAGAACATGCAAATCAATCGTGAATACATGTTTGAGAAAAATTAAAACAAGCGTTTTAAATTTATCTGTTTTGCATTATAGTTATTTTATAAAAAAAAAGCAAAAGATGTTTGCACTGATCTGAGCTCTCGCAGTCAACATCTTTTGTAACAAACGAAACTTGAACTCTTGCGGTAATCTATGGAGTTTACTATCATAAAAGGATAAATCACATGCTGTTATTTTAAATTGCAAACGACTGTGAATAACATGGCAGTGGTGTTAATTACAAAGGTCTCTACAAGCTAACAGTGGGCAAAAGTACTTCGGTAAAAAACAACAAAACATATCAATGCATAAGAGACATCTTAACCTCTCTATATTGTGTGTTTCCATGCAAAATATCTTCACTGAATAATCTCGTGTGCAAGGCGATACGTCCACAACCTTGGAGTTACTTTGGGGTACTTGTTTGTACATTGAACCAATGAAGTGTAATGCTGTACATGTTGAAAAATTAAGTAGAAATTACTACTTTCCCAGTCGCACAAATCAATAAGGAAAGAACTTTTGAAGTCCTACGAAGTCTACAGCAAAAGTTTAGGTAAATTCATCCGTATTCTAGAGCACATGTCGTTTATTCGGATGCATGCATCTAAATGAGAGGGTTATGGAAGCGATGGAAGCGTGCTAAAAGCCGGAGTTTAGTTAACGTGCGTCTAAAGCGTCAAAAACTCCAAGTATGTAAATATGACATATTTCGAATACTTTACAACAATTATTTACGAAAACCTCTAAGTATATGGTTTATCTTCGTTGCCACAAAACCACATTCCCTAAGTGGAATCTCTCGAGTGTATATGTTCGATTGGTAACACCGGAAAATACTGTGCACTGTTCAATATATAATCTCATTATCCGAGGACAAAGGGGCGTTAGCTTTTCTGAAGTACAAACGTTATCATGTTCTAGTAAACTGAAGCGTTGAATTCGAAAGTAAAGAAGTTTCATTTTGTTCTGTTCTCCTCAATGGGTACTTCGGTGAGTCATAAAGCGTCTAGTAAAACGACTAAATGAAAATATTTCATGCCTTACTATAAAATCGTCATATAATGTGAAGAACGCGTCTTGCTCTTATTTTGAATACAATTATGTCATACTGGTCTTCACAAGGTCTTCGCTATAGATAAGTCATGATGAGGCTAATGTCGAATACATGTACACAGTATGACAGCTTGAAACTATAGTGACATTACAAATATATCATTCGGTGCTTCACTCTTATTTAAGAACTGCCTTGGTTAGTGCTTTAAATCTTGCTCTTATATCAAATCAATTAAAACTTTCTTTGTATCATGTTTTTCACTAGTTATGTTTTAGTTGAGATATGAATGAATTTCAGTCTTGTTTTCGTTAGTTGGGATTATTTGTCGCTTTAAATAGTTCGTGGACTCGTTCAATATTACTGTTATGCTGCCATGTAGAGAACTCGACAGGACCAGACTAAAATGTATTTTTAGCAGAACCAAACAAATTTCATTCATAAAAGAAAATAGCTCGAGTTCCACTGCTTATCACAGTTTCTAGTGTAGGATGGCGAACCTAGAAGACACCAGATTAACTTATGCAAATTCAAAAACATATTTCAATGGTATAGTTTATATTTAAACTTAGTAAAGTAAATATAGTGTTGTAGTGGTGAACTTGGATATTTAAATCGTTATCGTTAGTGTTAGTGTTTTGAGTCAGTGTTGTCCAAATAGTGTTGTATAGTGTTGTTGATGAAATGAAAAGGAAAAGAATTAGTTGAGAAATATTTTTTAGTTGAAAGCCGATCTGTGTTGTTGTTTAAGTTGTCTGGGTCAGTGTTCGTATCAGTCCAATTTTGTAATTTGTGAAAAAAAAGTTAGTCAGTAGCATGTTGGTTTGTGGTGTAGAGGTCATACAGTTTTCATGTGATTTAGTTAGTAAGATGTCCAGAAAGGGTAACTGATTGTCTTGTTCGGTTTCGTATGTAAAGTTTATGCTTGGATGTTGTTTGTTGATGTATTCGTAAAGAGTAATGCTTCGTCTTTGTTATGAAAATAAAAAATGTCATCAACGTATCTGCGGTAAAATAAAGGTTTGTTGTTGTTGTAGTTATTTAACCAGTTTCGTTCGTGAAACCCATGAAAATGTTGGCTGGTGGGTGCCAGGTGCCCATACTTACCCGTCAATTTGGTCGGTACGTTAAATAAAATGAGTCTCGGCCGTAGTGATTTTAAACAATAGTTTTAGTTCTGTTCTGCTCATTTTGAAGGTTGTTGGTAAAAATTAAATCAATCAGGTCAACGTCAAAGAAATAAAGAATTTGTCATGCGTTGGTGTTAAAAAATCATCGACAAAACTAAAAGAATCTTTAGCAGAATGGTCATTAGGTATTAGTTGGAGTAAGAGCTGAGGTATTTGGCTAATTTTAGTTATACGAATTGATTGAAGTATAGGAGGTATGTCATTGATATTGTTTAATTTATGAAGTTTAGGTAAACCATATAATCGAGCTTGAACCTGACATTTCTTGAAATGATTTTCGTTAATAGAGTTCTCTTTAACTTACGTAGCAGTCGTTGTAATTCACGGAAATTGTAGGATCATGATCGAGTGGTTTGAACTTAGATAAATTGTTAATTATAGTGAGGCAAGAGTTAATGTATACCTGACGATCCATAATGACTACACCATTGCCTTTGTCAGGTTTAAGAACAATGAACATTCTAAGGAACATTCGTAATAATGACAAAATCATTGTTCTTAAACCTGACAAAGGCAATGGTGTAGTCATTATGGATCGTCAGGTATACATTAACTCTTGCCTCACTATAATTAACAATTTGTCTAAGTTCAAACCACTCGATCATGATCCTACAATTTCCCGTGAAGCAAAGTTACAACGACTGCTACGTAAGTTAAAAAGATTAACGAAAAATCATTTCAAGAAATGTACCCTAGAGGTTCACAGCCAGCTCGATTATATGGTTTACCTAAACTTCATAAATTAAACAATATCAATGACATACCTCCTATCAGACCTATAAATTCTTCAATCAATTCGTATAACTATAAATTAGCCAAATACCTCAGCTCTTTACTCCAACCCTAATACCTAATGACCATTCTGCTAAAGATTCTTTAGTTTTGTCGATGATTTTTATCTTTTAACACCAACGCTCCACATGACAAATTCTTTATTTCTTTGACGTTGAAAGCCTTTTACCAACATACCACTGACTGAAACCATAGACATTGCTATTGATTTAATTTTACCAACAACCCTACATTCAAAATGAGCAGAACAGAACTAAAACTATTGTTTAAAATCACTACGGCCGAGACTCATTTTTTATTTAACGGTAAGTACTACGACCAAATTGACGGGGTAAGTATGGGCTCACCCTTGGCACCCATTCTAGCCAACATTTTCATGGGTTTTCACGAACGAAACTGGTTAAATAACTACAACAACAACAAACCTTTATTTTACCGCAGATACGTTGATGACATTTTTTGTATTTTTCATAACAAAGACGAAGCATTACTTTTACGAATACATCAACAAACAACATCCAAGCATAAACTTTACATACGAAACCGAACAAGACAATCAGTTACCCTTTCTGACATCTTACTAACTAAATCACATGAAAACTGTATGACCTCTACGTACCACAAACCAACATATACAGGACTACTGACTAACTTTTTTAGTTTCACACCATTAAATTACAAAATTGGACTGATACGAACACTGACCGACAGAGCACGGAAACTTAACAACACAGATATCGGCTTTCAACGTGATCTAAAGAAACTAATATTCACTCTCCAACGTAATTCTTTTCATTTCATCATCAACACTATACAACACTATTTGGACAACAAGAAAAGCACTGACTCATCTAACTCCACAACTAACACTAACGATATACAACAACCTGACAATAAACGTTATTTCAAACTACCTTACATAGGTGATTACTCACGACACACAACGCAAACTCACACAAATCATTAAACGCTACTGCACTGACATTGACGTTAAACTTATTTTCACACCTTTTAAAATAAAATCTTTATTTTCGTTTGAAGACCCACTTCCCGAACTTTCCAAATCTATGGTAGTTTATCAATTTTCATGTGCGGGATGTAATTCCCGCTATATTGGTGAAACTTCTCGCCAATTATCTACCAGGATAAAGGAACATACTCACACAGACAAAAACTCCACTATCTACAAACATCTTCAAGCCTCTCCTTCATGTAAAAAACAAATTCTCACCTTCCTGTTTTAAAATCATCGACACTGATCAATCCACTTTCTCACTCAAAATCAAGGAAGCTCTACACATTAATAAAACTAATCCCGATTTAAATATCCAAGTTCACCACTACAACACTATATTTACTTTATAATAATATTTTTTGTTATAAGTTCTTAATACTTATTTTTCTTTTCCTTTTTCGTAAATATTTTATATTTAGTAACTGAATCATAATCCTATTCATTGTAATTAATGTATTTATATCATATTACGTATCATATTACCTAACACTAACCATTCTGCACTGAAGATGGCATTCTGATAATGTCGAAACATGTTTGCTCTCAAAAAAATCGTCGTTTTTCTCAAGTGTTTTTTAAAATTGCTGCTAATTAGAAATCATTGTTGTTTGCAAATGTTGGAATCATGATATGATACCCAAGCAAGTTTCAAACGAAACTAATTCCAATATAACCTCCCTTGGACATAATCTCCTTGCAAGAGCGGGTGGTTTGTATTATTCATCATGTGAACCTCCTTCATTAAGGCGAAGGCAACTGCAAGAACGATTGTAGTGACTACTGATAATTGCATTGCCTATATAGTACGACATGCTTGTGTTTTGAATCTTCACTAATTCACAAGTTTCCTCTATAATACCTTATGATAAAGAAGGCATTACTCTCTAATCCATTTTTCAAGAGTCCGTCTTTGTTTGCCATCACACCTATCCGCAGGTAACTGCCTCTTCAATCCCTTCTCGTTTGAAAATCTCATGCAAACCTGACAATAAAGGGCCAGCCTTCCCACCACAGTCCAATAGGGGAGTTAAGGTAGTTCTTTGGAAATGCAAACCCTTTTTATTTCCAACTCAAAAATTATCGTGACTAAAACACCACACGTTGTGACATACAAGTGACATACGAGTACATACAAGTACATACGACTGACATACGAGTACATACGAGTACATACTAGTGACATACGACTATATACTTGTCACAAATGAGAAGTAGCACAATTTCTTCAATAATACAATGATATTTGCATTCACTTTTCCTTGTATTTGTCTGAGCTCTGGGGCAACCATTTGATGGATCTAAATGCTGAAAAGGTATTTTATTCGCACATTCATTTGTATGTTCCAGTTGAATTTGGTGTCTGTTGTGCGCAATGTCTTAAGTCTTTAAGATACTGATTTTGCAGTTCAAAGACTGAATTGCATCAGCTAGAACTTTGAAAAATTAAAAATAATCAGAAATTGTACGCATAAGATGACACATAAACGTAACACAGTGCAACTGTCATTTAATTCAAGTATATATAATGTACATTTATTTCATATAGCACGTTTTCAAGGCATTATTTGTACGCTGTATATTAAATCGCTTTCATAAATATGTATTTTCTAGGTGAAAGCGTGTCAAAAAGGGCTCAATTACTGGCAAATCGCATGGACAAAATACGTATGATATGTTTTTTGTACGAGAGTTCTTTATGGCAACTCCAGCGCAAGACTCCCGTTGTTGATACATTTCAACCGTTTAATAGATTAAGACATTGCGCACAACAGACACCAAATTCAACTGAAACATACAAATGAATGTGCGAATAAAATACCTTTTCAGCATTTAAATCTATCAAATGGTTGCCCCATAGTCCAGACAAATACAAGCAAAAGTGAATGCAAATATCATTGTATTATTGAAGAAATTGTGCTACTTCTCATTTGTGACAAGTATATAGTCGTATGTCACTAGTATGTACTCGTATGTATTCGTATGTACTCGTGTGGTGTTTTAGTCACGATCCTCAAAAATTTGTTATAAGCTCTTGTTGTTACCAAGCCAGGTGAGGTAATCACCCAATATACGTGGAGATTTAAAGTCCCGTACCATGATAACAGCATTCCTTAGATTACCCCATTTTAAAATTTCGTCTATTTTGCTCGTACCCATCCATACAAGAACAGACCCGGACAATAACGCATTGAACATTTTCTCAGTCATGTAATAATCGCAGTCGAAATTTTGAAAAACCAATGTAAATTTATATTTTCCAATAAGTGGTTGTATTTTATCAAATCCTTCTGGTAATCTTGGCTTATTTCTTAGACAATTCCCATACGAGTCCACACGAACATGCTTCATTAACCTATGCATTTATAAAGTGCGAACATTTTCGCAATGACTGTAGATGGCTACAACAAAACCTGTTTTCTTCTCGAAAGGAAAAGCCTTGGACAAACTAGGCTGGATAAATTGAGGACATGGAAAATCCGAATCCAAGCGATAAGTAGCCGTATATGTAAACTTAGCCATAATTTTTTCATTAGGAGTTGCCTTGTTAAACACAGGATTTTCGTTGGTATGAAATATACAAGGTATTGAGTCGTATTCTTGTGAAGTTTGCATTTCTTCAGTATTTCCGCCATGTATAACTAAGGCAGACACATGACCGACGCAACTTTTATTTGTCGTAAGTTCACATTTCACAGGACAATATTTGACAGCCGAGAAAATTGGAAAATTGTGTCGTTTCTCCGGGGAAGTAATTTGTACATGGTCACCAAAAACTTTAGACCAATACAACACTAGGATTGAAGAATTCGGTTTTCTCAGATTACCTGCAACGATGCTGTTTGGGATATAGCTTTTCTTGACGTTAACATTTTTCATTAAGTTTACGTGAGAAGTAATATTGCAAATATCACTGACTCAAAAACGATTGACCCTATGCAAAAAAAGTGCAAGTACCGTTTTATTTGAGCGGAAATATTTGTAATATTTCATCCTTTGCATATCCACATTGTTGTCAACGATACAAACAAATATGACGTGAAGGCAGCGATAACTTTGCAGGTTGTCTCGAACTTTGAAGGTTCAATGGTCACATAAGTCAACATTTAAAGCTCTTACATAGTAAAACCGGTAAAACATAGTTAACAATAGTCGAAAAGTATTTCGCTCAAGTAAATATAGATCTCTGTTTTTGCTCAAGTACATGCATTATTAATCAATCAATATGAAAACAGACCTCACAATACTTTTTTTAATAGTCACTCGTGATTGAAACCACTTAAAAAGTGTTTCACTGTTTCATTTGTTACATCAAAAAGTCCTTTACATGCTAATGCTAGAAAAAATCAAAAGAAAATTGTTAATGTTCTGAAATTTACTAACAAAACTAAAACTAGCAGGCTGCGGAACGCAATAGCTTATTAAGTTTACTAATACAGCATGTCACCAGCAAGTGACCTTTCAACAGGATGCTTCTTAGGCAAGTGATAATATTCACTTGCCTTACAGTTGCTCGAAAGAGCATACTTTTGTAGAGTCTCCTGAATTATGATCTATGATTATGATCCTATGATTATGATCTTTTTCAGAACTGCTGCCAACATTTTACAGTTTGATGTCAGATGGTGATGTGTTTTCTTTATAAGCAAGGAAGTATATAAACAAGGCTCCTGATAAAACCACATTTGCCATTAAAATTATTAATGGAAACATGAAAAGAGTCAGTAATTTCATGGT